AACATACATACGTCTGAAGCTAATAAAAGTGTATTAATAATTCTAGTCCACATAGATTCATAGTCATTGAAGTTTATATGTGAGACTTTTTTAAAGCTATGTGCTTTTACAGTCATAAAAATCTGACTTCTACATTTTTAGAAGCTATGTGTAAACTATTTAAAAAAGTAGATCAGTTATTCAAATTAATAATAAATTTAACAAACAATTCTAATTTCATTCAGATCTTACACAGCGGTGTGACGAAGCCATGGTCCCGAATCGTTAAGCTCAAAAGAATATATCTGTTGCTCTCGAGAGATTCTCCGTAATAAATCTCGCTATATCAGACTGGAGTCTGTTTTTTATCACGATCTCTTAGCAGAAGAGTTTGACGGGCGGGAGGAGGGTTTCTCCCCTCAGCCCAGGTTTCCCCGGGGCGTATTTAGGTAAGGAAACGAACGATTGCACAAAGATATTGTTTGAGTTATTTCGTCCACTGGGTATCGCATATTGTTTTCGAGATTCGCTTTTCGATTTGTTTTCTGTCACCGTTTTCATTATAGCTAATTGTTTGTTTTTTTCAAGTATTTGTTTTTCAAAATTTAGCTGTAGTGCACGTGCATATTACTCAACTGGTAGAACCACTTGTGAGTCCGCGCGGATAGGTCCCACCACCCTGCCTATTTCTGCCGTGAAGCAGTAATGCGTTTCAGTTTGAAGGATGGGGTAGTCGTGGTAGTTATACTTGAGACCTTAGAACTTATATGTCAAGGTGGGTGACGCATTTACGTTGTAGATGTCTATGGGCTTCAGTAACCAATTGACACCAGGTGGGCTGTGAGCTCGTCCACCAATCTAAACAATAAAAAAAAACAATACATTCAGTATTACATCTCACGTTAAACAAATAACACTCATTTTTCTATGACCAGCCCCGCAATTTATCGTACCATACATCCACAATTTATCCGGCAAATCACTCAATTAGACGACAAATAATGCAAACGCAATAACGTACGTGTTTAATTACAAGCTAATATTAAACCGGAACATTGAGCTTATTAGTTTCGGGTCGCTTAGATTGTACCATGTAGTGCCATATGCAAAGAATGTGAAGCTGATAATTAGAACTTAGGCTTAGAAGGCAAGCCATGGGCAGAACACCAGAAATATGGTCAGTTTGGGTGGTTTAACGACATAGGAAATATCTTAAACATCGAGTGAGTGTAATTGCTCGGTAACCGACGGTCTTAATGTTATTGTTCCGAACTTGTATATATGCCAAGCTTATCTTGAAAATGTCGTGAGTTAGATACAGAAATCTTTCAAATATCTTGTGTTCTATGATGGATAGCGCCACAATCAGAACTAAAAAATTAATTATGTGTGTATGTGCAAGTCACACACGGTAGAAGTGAAACTTATAAAAAATAAAAATAATCGCAAGGGTCCACCACTCCGCAGTGAAATGGAGCAGCCTCACCCTGGGGGAACCGCCTGCATGCTCACGGTATCCCTACGCCAGGTAAATGTGATTGAGCAAGAGAAATACGAGACCGTATATCAACTGTGTAACATCTCGTCAGGAACTGTTGAATTTACATGCAGCGACATCTGTTCATAACAAACTAAATAGAAATAAAAGTATCTCAGAGCGCTCCGAGAGCCACGACAGCGTGCACGGACGTCAAAAACACACTGAACTAGTCGGGGACGCGAGACCGTGTGAAGCGCTTCGTGATTTGTCGGCGCCGCTCGGAGCCGCTTCGGCAAGCCAATCGTGGCACACTTATTTTGTCGTTTCGTTTCATTTCGTTTCATCGAGTTTGAAATTACATCACAACGATTCTAAAGAAGTTTCACTTCAATAAAGTAAGCGGTTGGTGGTAGTTCGATTCATGCCATTCATGACTGAAAACTATGAAGGAAAATCACATGTAGTTGCGATCCTCAGCAGTGAGGGAACGATAAAAAGAGAGGCGTGACATCAGCTTACAATTACTATTTTATGCCGAAATTGGAAATTTGGTACAGTGGTTTTTCTGGGTTTGCTACTAGGCTCGTGCCAAGATGGTTAACAGTCTGCCCAGAATTTTTTTTTCTCTTATGTAGGTAAATCTAGCTTACTCCACATTATAAACACTATTATTTGACGGGCTCAAACCACAATTTTTAATGAGAGTCAGTAAATGTAATATTGACATAGTCGCAAAACAATAACGCCAGATTTACTTGACTTGTGTATAAGGAAACACCAGTATGCCAACATTCCATTACTTTTTTTCGAAGTCTGTAAGAGTGGAGCGTGTGTAGTTTTTATTATTCATGGCGTATATGTCTTGAGGACATTCAGATCTTACCCTCATAACCCTGACGTGAAGCGGTTATCAGAGGTCACAGACAACGTCACGCGAATGGTGTTACCCACTTCGAGACATGAGGTTGAACTCTCAATTGTTTATCCCCAACAATTATAGCCTTCTTCACGGAAATACCCAGGGTATTGATACCTACCGTAAGGCATTTAAACTACTCTGTCACCAGATTGAGTTATTGATGTTATGTGAGTTGAGTGTATATAATTATTAAAGTTTTTTTTTGCTTTCAATTGGAAGACAAGTTCACAGCTCACCTAGTGTAATAGGTACTCACTAAAACCCATCAGAACAGTCCACTGCTGCTGCAAATAAACGCTGACATCCGTCCTTAGTCGATGGTGAAATTTCGAATCTCCAAACCGTTTTTTTTTTTGCTTTGATGGGTGGACGAGCTCACATTCACGGGGCTGCTTCGCGACAGAAACTGGTAAAATCTTCCAGAGTGCACTCACATTACCTACTACCACCTGAACCATCTAGAAACCAGATCTCATGATTGCTTCGTGGCAGGAATATCGCGCACCAAATAATCGTTTAAAAAAAATTACTTAAATATAAAAGGATCTCTCTCATTTCCGCAGTCCTCACTGTAAGGACCTTTGACACATTAAATTACGTTCTAGTGCCATCGCCGCCGCGTTTTGTAATCTCACAAAGGGATTAGTCTCGGACACACGGACCTCGGTTAATTTATGCAACCGTAATTTTTGCTTGCATAGACGGCATGGGGCTTTGAGGAATAAATTAACACAGTATAATCAGTTTTTGCGAGGCTTGAACGGCTGCGAGCTTAGAACTGGAGGCGCGCGAAAGAGAATCGCTCCTTAAAAGATGGTTGTCTATTTTAATGGCGAAAACTCGTTGTAAATAGTACGAATTTAGTGAAAGTATCGGAATGATGGCAGATGGCGGCTATTTTAGCCATAAAAGGGTGGGGGACCACGCAGGTCAGCAGATTTTAATTTTCCTGATGTTAACGCTGTCGTCAAAAAATTGCAGTCACTATCTTTCTCCAAATATGTAAATCTTCTTCTTTGTCTCCATACTTTTCCACTAGGTGGGGTCGGCACAGAGAATTTTTCTATTCCATTCTCCTCTATCAGCCGTCATCTATACTATACCGTCATCTATAGTTGTCTTCATCTTTTTGTCCACCTTATCCCACTAGGTGGTGTCGGCACAGAGAATTTTTCTATTCCATTCTCCTCTATCAGCCGTCATCTTAAGACTCACTTCTCTCTCTCTCTCTCTCTCTCTCATATCGTCATTTACACGCTTCATCCGTGTCTTCTTCGGTCGACCTCTTCCCCCTTTACCTTGCACTACCATTCCTAGTCAAGGTTTAATTAATGTTGAAATGAAATTATGTAATTTTCAACAAACTCTCCCAGACTTATTTCTGGATGCTGTGAGATTATTTTTGAATAATTTTATCGTAGTTAATAGTGCTTAGGACACATGACATTACCAACGTCTATGAACAATACTATTTGTTGTGTAAGGGAAAATAATACCGCCTATCCTGGTGGTACCGCTAGGTACCCAAAAATTTCCCTGACGGTTTCATTCTGATGAGAAATCGTTGTAATATTGAGGTCGCTTTGATAGATACCAACATTCTACTTTCGTTTTAATTTCTAAGATGGGAAGGCATATACCTGTCCTGTCCCATATACTATAGTGACTATATAGTATACTATACAATAAAAATTCGACCTCAGCCACCTCGACTGTCGCGGCTGTGCTAACTTTGTGACGTCATAAGTTCTAACGACCACATAGACATCTACAATGTAAATTCTGCCATCCACCTTGAGACATGAACTCTTAGATTTTTCAGTACAATGGTTGCTCCACCCTTCAAACCAAAAAGCATTACTGCATCATGGTAGAGATAGGCAGAGTATTGGTATCTACCACCTCCTTTCATCATCATTTTTTAAATTTCATTAACGCCTGCTCATAATACGGCTGTAACAGTAATTTCTTCCCACAACAAATAGGAGTTTTTCACACAATTTATGGCGTGCAGCTGTATTCGGCTTAACTATTTGTTAAGAATCCGAATTGGTAACACACGAACTCTTAAATTAGGTATATAAAGGTATATAAAAGCGTCTATCGTCATGACTGACATAGGGCAAATAGAAAATATTTTTTCAGTACTAAGAAAAATCGTCAACAAGCCCTGAACCTGTTCTTTGTCAAGTATTACATATATTCACTAGGCACGATGTCCTCGCACTCTAATAGTGATTAGGTTACTCTGCTTAAGTCAGAACATGGGATTCTGATGCAATCATACAAGAGTTGGGCAAAGCGGTCTTATTATAATTTACACTATTTGTACTTAATTACACTTTAACGCGAGACAAGTTCATTGAACTTAAAAAACATTTGATTTTAGGTGAATTGCTTAAATTTAAATTCAATTATTTTTGAATTAGAATAACTTTGTTCGATACGTTCTGAAATATTCAAATATTTTCCAAGTAAATTTTCCTCAATTACATGTTTATTCATATTTGCATAACGTAATTTAAACATTCCACCTTTGATATTTTCTAATCACCCCGGGAATTTCGCTAGCTAATCCAATTATTGACGAGACAATCAAGCGCCAAATTTTCCTTGTTCCAGATAAAATGGAGAGACGCGTCGCCGGTGCCATCTACATACTAATCACGTTCGCTTTGGTTAATGAGATGTCGATGAACGTGCAGGCCAGGGACAGCAGCAAACGGAGAACGAAAGAGAGGTCAGGAGGATTTCAGGACAACATTTGCGACATAACAGACAGGGACTCAAAAGTGCATTGCTATTGCGAAAACACCAGGGAACCGAGGAATGCGACCAAAGCGGAATGCTGGATATTCAATGGCGGAATTCCTCGCGACGACCTCGTCTGGCAAAGTTTCGCTTCTCAGCCCACTTTGCAAGCATTGTCTTTCAACGTTCGAGTTGAAGGCGCTTTGAGCTACGTGCCGACCAAAGCTCTGATGTACTTACCGCGTCTCAGATCCATCAATATAAAATACGGAAATATTTTAGAAGTATCATCTTTTGCTTTCGCTAATCTCACGCATTTAAGAGAAACTGGCTTATCGCAGAATCAAATAGAAACATTACAGCAGTATTCGTTCGTTCACTTGCCAAATGTAACGACGATAAATTTAGAAGATAATACGATTTTAGACATAGATGCGGAGGCGTTTTATGACGTGCCGAAACTACAAAAGCTGGTGTTCACGAAAAACAATATATCAACGATAAGGAATGGGACGTTCCAACACACGTTCAATCTATTGGAGTTGGATTTGAATAAAAATAATATATACAATTTGAATCGTCGCACATTTGATGGATTAGCGAACTTGAGGAAATTGGACCTGCGAAAGAATAGAATACAGAATCTGACCGAATTCACTTTTGCCGAGCTATGGAACTTGCAGGAGCTGTTACTGGGAAAAAACGATTTGAAATTCATTTCTGAAAGGGCGTTCGACGGATTATCGCAGCTACGGAAACTGTCCCTGGACGATAATAAGCTTGGGTCCCTACCGTCTGGCTTATTTGAGGGGGTGCGGGGCCTGAGTTCGCTGGACCTACGTTCGAACGAGCTTCACGCTTTGACTTACGACAATATCAAACCGATCCTCGATAATTTGAAGCCGCAGAATAGCAACTTGCTGCTCGAAGGTAACAATGAATACGTAATACTTCCTCTTTGATAAACTTACCGCGTTTTGAATATTAAGTCATGTTGGAACAGAGACGTTATTAACTTTAACGCACTTAGGAACTTTGTTCTTTTATGTACCCTCCGGGTGTTCTTAGTTGGAGCACAGTGTAGGGTAGGAGTGGATAGCGCTGTATAATACGTTTATTATAAAATTATGTCATTCCAAATTAGTCTGTTGGGTGTTTTGGTTTACGAAAACTCGACGGCACGGATACAAAGGAATCCCAACTTTTTCTTATTTGTTTCAGATAACAGCTTTGTATGCAATTGCAATTTAAAATGGATGCATGCCTTGAGGAATGAAACGAAAAGTCAGAACACTAAGGATTCGTTAGAGAACGTGACATGTAGACTGGACCCACCAATCGTCAGCTCTGCTTACAACAAAATACCCGAAACGGACAATGCACCTTTCAACCAGGAGATCCTGCACGCTGGACTGACCATAGAAACCCTCAACGAGAAGATGAACATAACGGAGAAGAAAGGAGATCTCAAGGACATCGTCGAAGCCGCCAATGAAATCCAAACGAAGAAGGGAGTCAAAAGGAATGTTTTGAAATTTCCCCCGGAAACTTTACCATGTCCTAGGGAGGTCGTTAAGACTACTGAGGCTCCTCCATTTATAATCGATCCAGTGATTCCAATACAAAATGAGATGAAAACGTATAGGTATCATGAAATGAATTCTGGTCACGGCCTGTCGCTTAGATTTAGCATAGTGTTATATAACATCTGTTTAGCTTTCTTTTTCACTTAGGCTATTAATATTTAAGGGACTAGATATATGATATTAAGGGATACTATATTGTTTTCATGGCTGTGTATTGAAGAGTATTAAGAAAACAGCTGCAAGTTATTTTAATGTTTGCACGTGTGCGATAGAGCTCAGAATCTTTTGGGAAAATGGAACCGTCCAATTTCAGTGAGCTTCAATAAAACTTTTTTTTTTTCTTTGTTTAATAAACAGTTAATAAACAAAAACAATATTTTTATAATGAAAATTAATATTATGATTGTCTTATTTTCCTTAATGATATCGAAAGTAATAAAATAAGTTATTATCAAATCTAATATTCAAAATTTACCATTCAATGTTGTTTTTAAACTTTTAATTTAGTTTGACTAATAATATTCTTATTTAGATTGACTGATAAAATGAGCAAGTGTGTAAAGTAAGCAAATACATAAACATGTTAACATATTATTTATTCCAAAAATAAAGCGGGTGGAACCGCAGGATAAACTTGGTATTTCACTAGAATGCGAACGACATTTGTCAAATTATATTAAGTCAATTGCTTTGTCGTTAGTCAGTCGTAAATAAAGACTTTGAATTTCTCAATAATCTTCAGTACATAGCTATCAAAGACCGCTTAAAACAAACCACACAATTGAGCCACATTATAAAGTAAACACAAATTATTTATATCCTATTAATGCGTCAAAGTTTTCTCTGCCTTGCTACTAAGATAGTCCAATAGTACCAGGCGGCTAGAACTTAGGTTCGAGATACTATGTGCACCACCTTGATGACGATATTCGTCGCCTATTAGTATATTATGAGAGCTTAATAAGGCATTTGGGCTATAAGGAAACTTTGTTGCACTAATTACGAAAACAAATATGAATAGCACTTACTGTTTAACGCGATTATGATCACAGATTATACCCGAATGTATGTTTGTAATTTTTAATATAGAAACTATTGTATCTAAATGTAAGATATGATCTCAGTATGGTTAGTGTGAGTATTTTTCATTTAATTACTAATTTATTATTTGTGTGTGTATGTGTATGTATATCTTTATACGACGGCTCACATTGAGCCTTTATGGGTTGGGCTAATCTTTCTATTTTTGCGGGAAAGTTTTAAGTTCTGTCTGGAAAGTGGGAACAGCTATTTTACAATATAATTAAGATTTCGACTCGACTCGATTCCTTAGCACGCACCTTACACTATGAAATAACTTAGTATTGCCTTTTATTTCGATTTTTGTTATCCATATACAAAATATCACTACATAGTATAAAACAAAGTCGCTTTCTCTGTCCCTATATCCCTATGTATGCTTAAATCTTTAAAACTATGCAACGGATTTTGATGCGGTTTTTTTAATAGATAAAGTGATTGAAGAGAAAGGTTTATATGTATAATAAGATCCATTAAATAGTAGAGAAATCAATAATAAATTACAGTTTCCGAATCAAAGCGAGGTTGGGTCGCTAGTAATCTATAAACTAACAAAATCCGATGTAATGAGCTATAAAAAAACAGAGCTAATTATGAAAATTGATGATGTTTAGTATACTTCAAATACCTAGTCAGACTCGAACCTAAAAACAGTGTAATGAGCCGAACAAGCAACACCGCTAGACTACGAAAACGTTTCACTATAGCACCTGTCTATATCTGCGTGAAGCAGTAATGCGTTGCGGCTTGAAGGATGGGGCAGCCGAACTTATATCTCAAGGTGGGTGGCGCATCTACGTTGTGGATGTCTATGGGATCCAGTAACCACTGAACACCAGGTGGGCTGTGAGCTCGTCCACTCATCTAAGCAATAAAAAAAACCTTGTTCGATCGCCACGCTGTTTTATTTCTTTAAAATTCATGATATTAGAATCCAAAGCTAATGAAAGTGAAACACGAGAATCACTTCTTAAGATGGACTTGACATTTGAGCAAAATTTATCCCTGATACTATATACCTCGCGACCAATGCTTAAAGCTGTAGAATAAATCTACTCTTCCTCTTGATTTTTGGGCGCTATGATCTTATCTTTCTTCAAATGAGACTCAAGCAGGAACTGACATAATTGTGTCTCTGGTATTGCCAATTTTCATGGGGCATTGACCGCATTCCCGCAAGACGGCTGCAAACTCATCAAAAACATTTGCACATAGTTTTGTACATAACATAATACATTTCAGCTTTAGCTAAAGGATCTTATTACGATAGTAACGAATCGCTACATATAAGCCGAAAGGACATAGGTGTATTAAGATATTAAATGTATTTAGTCTTTAGTTGTAAACCACTAACAGTGATTTTAGTTTGTGCAAAGTAACAATACCAACTTTACGATGGTAGTTTCGAGAATTTGATGAAAAAAATTCACAATCTCCTTCCGCTTGTTTAACATAAGTAATAATAAAAGTATCATATAATTTTTAACAACTCAATTAAGGTTCCCCGAAGAAAGGAAGTTACGATAATAAGAACTGAAGCTAAAAAGGGACGAAGCATGTGAAAGCTTAACGTTCGAAAGAGATGAATAGAGGTAAATCGGTTTTTGTGCGGAAGAACATAAATAAGAGTAACCCTCAAATTTGGCTTATTAAATTTTTGTAGCATCTTGTTTTGAATAGTGCTCGTGGTCTTGCGGTATTAAGCCTGTCTCATTTTCAAGCGGTTACTGTATTAAAGGTTCAAGACTGAATATGTGCCACTCACAAAACATTCCAAATTCCAATCGGTAATCTTGTCGCCAGAAATACAAAAAATAAATATTTATATATTTGTTGGGATTTTATGTGCTCAAGTGTTTAATCTTTGATTCATTTGAAACTTTGGGCAGTTATTGTTAGCAAATTACAAGTATTAAACTATTAAGGCCCGGGAGGAAGCGGGCGTATTATGGTTTTAACTCATGACTGCTTTGTTCATGAATTCAGTAGAACTCAGGGTTTCAAAGTATGTCTTATGTTTGTATGTCGGAATACCAAATAACTGTAATAAATGTAGAGAGTCTATAAGTATGGTCAGCTACATAATTCCCTATATATCTTAATCTCTTTATTCTTATGAACATAAGAAATAAATAAATAAAAAGTTGACGTTAGTGCTTTTGTTTACTACATGCATAAAATGATTTTATATTTAGTAAAATATATTTTATTAAAATAATAAGAATACAAATTATATTTCATACTTTATAAGAATACGACCACTAATTAGTGTACTTTATTAATCATAGATGGCGTTGATTTCAGTTTTTTTTTATTTTACTATCCATGCACTTTTGCAGCCCACTGTACATACAGACTACGTTAAAAACTTGCAAAAATCAACGAAATTATTATAATACCTAGTGCAATTTAATTTTTAATGACTTGGATGATGTATTTTTTTCAGCTTAAAATATAAAGGCATGAATAGATTGTAATTCACTTATGTATTCACTAGCTGTAGCCGGCGGCTTCGGCCGCGTGATCAAAGAAATGTGTCCGTGTAGTTTGCCGTGATAATTACGTGTTGTTCGGGATAAAATGTAGCCTATGTCACTCTTCAGACTGAATACTAATTTTAAAAATCATGTCAATCTGTCGCTTCGTTTAGACGCAAAAGAAGGACAAACAAACTTAACAAATACACTTTCACATTTCTATTAGTAGGATTTGATTTATTACAGACGTTTTGTAATCCAATCAAGATTTCTACGTCTCAGCTCGTGTTTCTCATACCGAGACCTGTGTACTGGACGGGCTTATCAACACATTTAAGATAATAAAAGAAGCTAATTGGTTATCAAATATTCTAAGTATCCACAGAAATAATGAAGATCCATTCATCTCTAGTTCTAATCGAGAACGTACAGCTTCTAATAGAGATGTTTTTCTTAAATGTTTTGTTTTCTATACTATACGATACTCACACTTGTGTCATTGATAAAATTAAATGCGTTCTTATGTGTATAAATATTAATGGACGTTTTTTGTATGAATTTAAATAAAATAAAAGGTGTAAAATTTTCGACGTGCTGTGTAGTTTATTTATTGTATTAATATTTCAAACCGAAACGCATTACTGCTTCAAGACAGAAATAGGCAGTGGTCGTACCTACCCGTGCGCACTCATAAGACTTTCTACCACCAGTAATTATGCAAATTATAATTTTGCGGGTTTGATTTTTATTAGACGATGTTATTCCTTCACCGTGGAAGTCAAACGAGAACATTTATTAAGTACGTATTTCATTAGAGAAGTTGGTACCCGCCTGCGGGATTCTAACAACGTTGCATCACTATTTACGAATGCGCCGGACTTCAAGTCGACGACGACGACAAAGTCTCATTCTATTGTTCAGCCGTCTCACTTGTTAAGCCGCAACTCATGAATGATACACGGCAGAAATTGCCAGAACTGTGGTATATAACCGTGCGGACTTACAAAATAAAGTATGAGGGTTGTGGCGTCTACATTTTAGTGTCCATGGGCTTCAGTAATCACTTAACAGCAGATGGGGATGAGCTCGTTCACTTTTCTAATGGGATAAAAATAATAAAATAAACCGTAATATTAATTCACAATGCGTCTCCAGAGATCAGTGTTACTACGTACCAATATCACTGGAATTAATTTCCTGGGTTTAGCTTTCTAAGCGCTAAGACGTGTCCATCTTCAATATTTAAAAATAGTTTTTTTTTTTATTGCCCTTGTAGGCAGACGAGCATACGGCCCACCTGATGGTGAGTGGTTACCGTCGCCCATGGACTTCAGCAATGCCAGGGGCAGAGCCAAGCCGTTGCCTACCACTTAATAGTGCTAATAGGTCGCGTTATAATCTCTGATATCATTAATGCCCTTATTCGATCGCGACGGGGCACCGAAAAGCCACTGTTGCCTGAAACATATCTTGTCGGAACCCCCAGGATTCACTCTCGGTGCTTTTAGACCTCTCAAGCACTGGTCACCATCCTCGACAAACTCGGCGATCGATCGACGAGCGAACTAACCCATACGCAGCCCACTGAGTTTCTCGACGGATCTTCTCAGTGGGTCGCGATTCCGATTCGGTGGTAGATTCTACAAAGCACCACTCGACTTGCTAGGGCTAGTGTTAGCAAAATCTTTCTCATTGAGCCCGTGAGCTCACCTACCCGTCCGGGCATCTTGGAATAGCCTCTTAGGTTACCAGTGAATAAGTAGGGGAAAAAATTATAAAAAATGCCCTTGAGGGTCTGTAGGTATTGGAAGAAACGTAAGTACAGTATTATGATAGGCAATAAATTGATACCAACACATAATTCATTACAATCGTTTAACTTTTAGTAAGCAGTATGCTCAAATACCCTTGATGGCAAAACAGAAAGTTCAAGGTCTTTATGTTGAAATTGAAATAAAACAAAATTCAGTACAAGCCTTATTCATTTAATTAAGTAAAATACCTTTGAACAATCGTTCCATTACAGTCGATTACAATTAATCGCCTTCGAATCCTTTTGATTATTCAAAGAATTTTAATAGAATTTGAGTGTAATTAAATATTTCGGAGAATTCATGACTACGTCTCCTTAATAACAGCTTTCATTTTGTTTTCAGTAAATATTTTACTTAAATCTAAAATTTAAAATCTACAAGTATATTATGACATGCTAACAATAATATATCTGTTTATCTCTATATATAAAAATGAATTGCTGTTCGTTAGTCTCGCTAAAACTCGAGAACGGCTGGACCGATTTGGCTAATTTTGGTCTTGAATTATTTGTGAAAGTCCAGAGAAGGTTTAAAAGGTAAATAAATAAGATAATGCTCGGAATTAAATAAAAATAACAATTTTGTTTTTCCTTTGATGTCCCCCCCCTTTTTTTTTGTTTTAAGTTTATTTTATACAAAAGTTTAGGTCTTTTATTTATCGATTGAGGCACTACGAAGTCTGCCGGGTCAGCTAGTCTAAAATAAAAATAAAATAGGACGGCGCAACTGGCGCTATGTTGTTTTTAAGAATTATGATGACATTATTATTTCCATTACTATCATTGTCTTCGTGGAGGAGGAATGATTACTGGTGGTCCAGAGACTTTTCCAGTTTCACCAGGACAGATAGACGAGCACAGGATCAGCCAGGATGAATGGTGCGCTTCTGGGTCATCATGTCCCCTGATGGGGGCACGGTTCAGGCCTCGAGGAAATCCTCTCAGCCCAGACTAAGAATGGTATGATAGTGGGCA